GACCAGGCCACCCTGTCCAGATAAAGTGTTTGCAGATCAGGTGAACTTGTCTCTATATTGAGGCCATTAAGTTTCTCACTTCCAGGTATGACCAGTCGGTTGTCAATCTTCTCGCTGCAAATGCCTTCTGGTACGACAGACATTATTACGTTAGTGAGATCGTCGATTTCTTCAAAATCGCCAGGGTTTGAAAAAACAAGGATGCCTTTTTGAACCAGAGGTAATGTGACAGAAATCTTACTGATGTGATTGGAATTCTTAATCTCTTTATAACCGGGATAACTTGCAGAGCTGTTGGATTAAGAAAATTTATGAATTTTTTTAAACGCTTGAGGCTTTTTTATACTTTGGGATGATTTTTTTCTCACACGAGGATATGGACTCAGGGACATATGAACTGGTGATCCGTGGAAGCGACGCCGCCGTTCAGAACCAAATCGTTCATTTGTATATTCAGTATTTTTGATAGTTACAATGATTGATTACTTGTGCCTGTAGCTACGTTTCTATCCAAAGTTCATGCGAGCAGCTCTCCATGTAAAATCTACTTATCGATCCCAATCAGGGGTATGCACGACACATCATCGGGGTGGAGGGGTATATAGCGTACCCGAAGGGGAGTCCCCTTCCGAGGCCACTCATAGACAAACTGTACATTGACGGCAATGAGCACGATGGCTGGGGCAGGCGTTTAGTGCCAACATCACTGGCTGTGAGATAGCGGTAGGCCACATCCTATTCAGCTCTTCCACCAATGATATTGGCAGCAACCGCCCGCCCTCGGCCGACGTGCCCACAGCGTTTACGCTATGTGGGTCTTCGTCCCTGTCATGTGAGGTGAATGGGTTCCCAGCCGCAGTAGCGTGCCTTTTTCTCCCCTCAGAAGTGCACGGAAACAGGGCTGGAGAGCTGTAGAACTCGGGTGTCGTTGGGACTTCGTCTGCGCTCTCCCAGCGCACCGCCAGCCCCCTCTACCGTAGCAAAACGCGCTTCTTGTCTGCGCTCTCACTTCTTGTTGTTCTCTAACACGGAGAACGCGAGATCTTGGTATCGACGCAAGAACTAAATTTCAGGAATAGCGTAGTGGAGTACCAACAGGCTCGGGTACACGAGCTATCTTAGGACAAAACTCCTCCCTCACTGAGAATTCTTCAAAAATAAGTTTGAACTACAAAGTGAGCCTATCATGCAAGAAACTGTAATGTTCAGCATGCTTTTAGTGTAAAAATGTGAGGGGGCGGCTTAGTGCGTCTGGGACAGAAAAAATTAATAATAAATGTTAGGGCGGGCGGCGGGGCCGGCTTAGTGCGTTTCTAGGACAGAAAAAATTAACAACAAAAACAGTTCCCGATCCCAAATACGACCCCTCTCATCCTCCAAATATGACCCTCCAGATAGGGCCAGCACAATGGTACGCTGATTGTAGAGCCTACTAATGCCACTTCGAGATGGAAATTGACGAGCGCAGATAGGCTTGATGAGGGCATGTTTCTGATCTGTTGCCCAGAGATCGTTGCCGGTGCCTCTTTCAAGGACCTGGAAACTGTCGTAAAGCTATGCATTAGCATGAGCCCCGTTTATACTTGACGAAATTGTGCAGGTCTCACCAAGAAAAGTGTATGTTGAGAGGAAGTGGCAAAAAAAGTGATTAAATAGGATGCCCCTCCTCCTCCTTCCTTTCGCCCTGGGCCAACACCGCCCAAAAGGCGTATTAAACGAATCCTCGCATTCGTATTCGGACGTATTTTTATACCCGAAAGTGATCTTGTTTTGTTGTGTTAACTGCGTTTAACACTGCAGTTCGCATCCCGAATGTTATTGAAAACTGGTGGTTTGACTTCCATGAGACGAGAGGGTTTGAAAACTATTGTACAAAAAACGAGCATGCAATAAAATATATTATTCCTCAAGAGAACGCTTTGCAATTACTCAAGTGGTTATATGAGAACAAGCACGATATGGGCAAGGGTACAACTGGTAACAACCAAGTCTGGCTACAGAGGAATTTTTAGTCCAGAACATTGAGGATTACATTTGACGATGTTGCTTAGTGCTTCCTCTCGGCAGCGAATGCATCTTCTGGATGACCTTCCATGCTGAAATACAAGCACATGACGTGACACATTGAAGGCAGTTGGCACCATGAACCCAAGACGAGTACGATTAATATACCTGGCAGGACGGAATTCGCGCCCCTGAGCAGGCGCTGCGTAGGCCTTTCCCCCGGGAAGGTACCCCTATAAGGCTCTATCAAGTTGCAACTACCGACCCGAATGCCCACCACGCTCGCCCGCCCACAAGTGGACGACCGCACCTATTGCTCCATTTGCCAAGTAAAATATGAAGCGAAGGGATTGATATGAAGCGGCCGCGGTGCTGCATGGATATATGAGTACATACATGCAGCCGTATCTACCGTAGCGGTTATTGGCAAGATGCCTACGGGAAACTCGTCCGAAATTGCTTCTTGAGTCATTGAAAAGAAGGCTTTTCTCCGCAGGTTTTTGATCGTTTACCTTCGTTTTTCTGCCACTTTCTCATTGTATAGCACCCTGCAATCATTTCAGAGCGAGTACCAAATTATCGTGCCATATGCCTTCCTCGGATGCAGTACGCATTATACTTTCAGAATCGTAATAGTTTAATGGACGCCATG